CGTCCTTGCAGATTAAAGAGATTGTAAAAGTTGGTTCGCTACATTATTATAATGCAAATTATATCCCATTAGTAGCTGGCACTAAGCAAGCCACTAACATCATAGACTGATGATCAGCAGTCTATGATTTAATCGATTGATTTGATAAAGATTGCCTCTTTAGTTGTGTAGCTGTAACTAAGACTACGGAACAAGTATCAAGTGAAACAAGTGAATTTTTTTCTGCAAATGGGCTACAAGGCAGCACTTTTACACGTCAATTTTTTCAAGCGAACGATGAGGTCGACATTTCCTAACTGACTACTCTGAGAAGAAATGTCGAAACAAAATCAAAGATCTGTCTCGTTTAAAGTCTAGACAATATGTGTAACAGATTGTGTGTGAGAACCGTGCAAGTTCTTTATTCATATCTATGGTATCGGTTTTGACATTCCGGTTGATCAGATATTGATATTTTGGGGGTTTTTTTATGGTCTATGCCGATAAACAAGCAGACGGATCTCCTGATGGTAAGAAATCGGCGTCGCCCATGGGCACCCGGAACACCAAAGGCGTTATCAGTGCGTTACCGGCCTTTTAGGGATTACGAATTCGAGGATTATTGGAAATTCAGGTATTAAGGAGATTGGGAGTCGGGGTTGAATGGTAATTGGGTCCCCTGTAACCTAACTCACATGACGAAATACAACGCAAGCGTTGTTTCACGTCGGATTTCTGTGAGGCCGTGGTATCACTACAGTTGAGCTTTGGATCTCTTAACACTTATTTTTTTCGAAGTTCTCTGTTACAAAAGGGTGCCCCTAGGTCTAGAACTGTTCCCGTATATGACATACGGGAACAGGCTGAGAACCTATTAAAAGTATATATTTATGTACTTATAACTTTTGATTACCATCAAGTGATCCGTCTGCTCTCTATTATGCCATGTAAAAACCTGGGTGTTGCATTTATTTGTTGGTTTTTGGCAATTCCTTCAAAAATTATAATAATAATAATAGTGATATAGTGGTGATAGACCGACAAGTGCGCCGCACGATGATAATCGATATCACTATTCCTCATGATGAGAACCTCGTGAAAGCTGAGAAAGATAAACAAATCAAATATCTTGATTTGGCTCACGAGGTTGTCGACATGTGGAATGTAGATTCGGCTATCATTGTGCCGATAGTCGTGTCGGCCAATGGGTTAATCCCTAATAGCCTCGACGACCACCTTAGGAGGCTAGCGTTAGGCAGTTGGGTCAAGGGCCTGATACAGAAGGCAGTTCTCCTTGAAACGGCGCGCATTGTGAGGAGGTTTCTATCTCTGGAGCCCTAACCACCGGTAGCTTGGACCATGCTCCCACTACTGGTCGGCTCCTATTTTTATATTTTTAAATATTATTTTTTATACTGTAGTATTTAAAAATGTAATTTTAGAGAAATTTTAAATAAATATATGGAATAATAATAAATCTTTATTTCGGAATCATTACACTCCATATTTTACAAAAAAAAAAAACAACCAAAACGCCAACCTCTCTACACTATTACAAAATTCCAAAAAACAAAAACACAAAATATAAACATTAATGTTACACCATGGATAATGTTACATTATGATTTCACACAAATATATTCGATACACACTATAAATGAACTTTAAACGACCAAAGAACGTCGGTACATTGAAAGGGCTACGTATTATTGAAAAGGTTTGACCATACCTTGATGACAGCTTACAGCGAAGGGAACTGACTGTAACCCATTATTCCTCAGTTAATAGTGCTTAGACATCGGTCTTAGTAAATTGATCTAGACCTAGTGCTTGTTAGACGTATGTCCTAAGGGAACGATCAACTAATCACCGTGGTTAGAAATAAGCTGGAACTTTCTTGCTTTATTTGGGTCTAGAGCGTGTTTTCTATGTACTGAGTTATTTTAAATTTAAATTAGTACTTATTTGTATCATTGATAAGGACTGCATCGTTGGTCGAGTGGTCGTAAGTCCGACTGCCGGGCAAGGAGTATCGAGTTCGATTCCCGGGTCTGGCAAAGCAAAGCAAGGTTTTAAAAAAAAAATCTCAGTAGTAGTTTTTGTTAAGTTCAAAAGTGCCTTTTTGGACTAATTGAAGTAAATAATTTTGAATTTGATTGCCTCGTTGGTCGAGTGACTGACGGGCAAGGGGTCTCGGGTTCGATTCCCGGGTCGGACAAAGCACTACGGAGTCTGGAATTGTGGACGGCATATGGCAATAGACCTGCCCCCTATTACATGGGACTCATAACATAAATACTGAAAAGTGGGTGTTACATTGTACAGTGGCATTCAGTGCCGTAATGTGCACCTCTGCCTACCCCTTTGGAGATAAAAGGTATGATGTTATATTCTTTAAGTCTTCTTTACACGTAATGCGTAAGGTTTTTTTACACATTAGTTTTGTATCATGTACCTCTATTACGTGTGTCACAAAGTAGAAAAAGGGAGGACGGTACCTACCTAATGCGCTATAGCCCTGATTAGTATATATAGTCATTTTAGTACCACAGTTTATGACGGAATATTATTAACAGTTATCACAAATAGAAGGAGTAAACGATGTTTACTTTCGTTGACATTTCGACCATATTTAAGTACATTGACCAATAGTGAATGGTCTGATTTGTTCTCAGCCTTGGTACACTAAATTATTTGCGGTTAAACGTGCTCTTATTAGCTTACAATCCAATAAATGAGTGTTTGTTGATTTGTTATCCTTTTAGTGCGAAACTGCTTTATTAATTGGGATGCAGTATAGAATATATGTAGATAGTTTCAAAGATCAAGGTTTGAGTTAATATCACATGATCATCAACAACAGCCTATAAGTGCCCACTGCGGAACAAAGCCTCTTCTCACACGGAGTAGGTTTGAGCAATAATCACCACGCTTGCTCAATGTGGGTTGGCGATTTCAAACTTATAATTAGAAATTGTAAGCCCAGGTTTCCTCACCATGTTTTCCTTCACCGTCTGTCAGTGGTGTCTAGATAATCTTAGAAAGTACATTTAACTCGGAAAATGTCACATTGGTACTTGCCGTTGGTAGGTTTCGGACCCCCACCCTCATGCATGTGAAGCGGGCGTCTTGAACCTCCGGGCCACCACGACATTATCACATAGCATATTAGAATATCATGTCTCTCAATTCTCCGTAGCATATAAAAATTGGCCATAAGATTACGTCCATATTCTTTAGTATATTTTATTAAGCAATTGATTACTGTTTTTGTGTAGAAACTACATAGATAAAACTATCAAATCATTTGAGATATATTATTATAATAACTATCGTGAGACATAGTAAATTAACTAAAAATTGCGGGTTACGGGTTACCCACGTGAATATACTGAGAAAAGCTCTACTAGTTTCGAACCACTGAGAGGTTCTTCCTCATGAGCAGCGTGCGCGGTCGCGGCGATGTCGAGTAGTCTGCGCGAGCTTTTCTCAGTATATTCACGTGAGTAACCCGCGATTTTTAGTTAGTTTGAGATATAGTTTAAGTTCTATGTAAAAACATTTGCGTACGAAATTGGTAAAGAATTATAATCCGGTAGGTATAGTAATGAGGTCATCAGTTCAATGAACTCCATGTTATGTAAATTGCAAAGTTCTGAGCTTTTTGGGTTCAATGTATGTACGTAAGTATTAAATTAATGAGTTTAGTAATTAAAGTATGTTCAATTAATAAAATACATTAATTAAAGTCTATAAAACGTTATCAGAATATTGTGTTATTTAAAGTAGTTACATTTATAAATTGTACTTGTACGGTCTTCAACTGTACATGCTTTTTGATGACACTGCAGTCGGTACGACTGCGCGTCATTTTTACCTAATTATAAATACACGGTTGCTACACACACCGACTAGTGTGCATTTTACAACAATACCACAAACTACTTAAGAGAAAGGAATAGTCAATATCGACGAACTAGTGTAACTATCAGTAATACAACTTTACTTCTTCAACTACAACTTCGTGTTCTTTTCTCTTCACACTCCAACAATTAACTACAATCTGCAAGTGTACGAACCGTACATTTTATGGTCCTTCGAGCCGGATATCTCTGTGTGTGGTATATCTATATACGATAGCGAATCGGTTCAGCTGGTCTCCCAGAAGCGGGTCGCCCCAGTTGTATTGAGAAGGCGCACATATCGTACGTAGTGTACTACCATACGGAGTATCCCAACGCGACTATTGGAAGAGGTCGGCAAACTGCGGTCATCATGTCGCTAACAACTGCTCACCTGTCGCCATCAACTACGTGACTACGAGCTATACCAACCGCATAAAACGCTCATTGGTCGCCGTCAACTACGCGACTACGAGCCACAACTACATCAACTAACTAGCAGTCATCTATCGACGTCAACTGTGTGAGTTACCCACCCACTATCAACTAAAAGTTATCGACATGGATAAATTGGAACTACAATCATCATGCTTTGATAATATCAAGACCTTGTGTACAAACTATCGCAAGGATTCTTCTTCCCGTAAAAACGGGGACTATCTGAACAAACGTTTGGCATCGCTGGAAAATCAATGGAAGGATTTCGACAGCAGGCATGTAACGTTAGTGCTAGAAGTAGAGGATAAAACTTTATTCTACTTCACGGAGGATGTTTACGGAAAAACAAAGGAGCTGTACTTGACAACTAAAACAGACATTCTGAACAGATTGTCAGACTTAGAGAAACCAAAACAAAACATAAGGTTTGACTTAAGTGGAACGTCAGCAGAAACCGAACTTCAAATCGACGATAACATTCAACTGTTAATGAACAAACAGGAGTGTAATTTTAACGCTCTATATCGCATAATAATGAAAATCAACAATGGCGCATCTATTTCTGAAAAGTGGGAATTAGATGATTATCTAAATACCTTGAAATCAAAATGGGAGCCTATTGATAAACTACACTGGGAAATTGATTTCAAAGTAAAAGGTTCAAATGAAAAATAAAACAAAATGTTTGCGGATATCGAACAACAGTATGATGAGTTAAAGAAACGTCTTAACTCCAAAATTTGGGCAACGGTACACTACGAAAAATCTGCTCCCAAGATCGAGATTCCTGAATTTTCTGGCAACTACAGTCAGTGGATTTCATTCAAGGACTTATTTGTGGAGGCCATCCACAAGAATCCCATGATCAACAGCGCGCAAAAAATGCAGCATCTTAAAACCAAGCTGCGAGGGGAAGCAGAGCGACTAGTGCAACATCTGTCCATTAGCGCGGACAATTATAACTCTTGTTGGGACATTCTAAATCAGCGGTATGATAATCGTCGTCTCCAGTTTACATCCTTCATGAACAGCATGCTCAATCTTCCCACCATACAGCATCCAGACTCCGCTAACATAAAGAAAATGCATGACGTCGTTACCGAATGCTTGAATGGTATATCAAACATCGGTATTGATACGTCATCATGGGATCCAATTATTGTACATATCATGTCACAGAAGCTAGACTCAAAGACGCTGAGTGACTACATGAAGGAACTCCAAGATCATAGAGAGCTACAAAGTCTGCAAGATTTCCTGTACTTTCTTGAGACTCAATTTATGGCATATGAAACGATGAAATCTGCAAAGAAAGGATGTCAAACAACAACAACTGACAAACCTGCTCATTGGAAATTCAACAAACAAAACCCAATGAAAAAATTTAGCCTATACAATAAAACTAATAACTATCATGCAGGTCACAAAAAATGCCCACATTGCAACGAAAGTCACGTTTTAATGCAGTGTGACAAATTTCTAGAAATGGACTTTGGCAAACGAAGCGACACAGTTTCGAAACTACAGCTGTGCAAAAATTGTTTATTCAGCCACGGAAACGATGTGTGCAAATCTACAAAAACTTGTCGAGAATGCAATCTAAAACATCACACATTATTGCACAATCCAGACAAGAGAAACTCAGCTACATACAAGAGAAAAAACAATACTGAACAACCTGCGCCCCCATCTCAACAGCAAACTTCTAATCATATAACAAGTAATATGGAAGTTTTACTTACAACAGTACAAGTCAGAGTAAAATCTATTGATGGAACTTACGTCATTCTGCGAGCACTGCTAGATCAAGGGTCGCAAGTAAATCTCATCACTGAAAATGCTGCGCAACTGCTAAGACTTCCCCGTAAAAGGGTCAACGCGTGTGTAACTGGAATCGGAACGGCCTCTGGAGAATGCAAGGGACAAGTAAACTTTACCTGCACATCGATGCATTCCGATTACAACTTTACAACCCACGCACTCATTATGAGGAAGCTTACAAACAATTTACCAACGACAACTTTTGAGAAGGTTGAATGGCCACATTTGAAAAGCTTAAAACTTGCAGATCCAGAGTTTAATATCTCTCGCCAAATTGATCTCCTCTTAGGAGCTGAAGTATATTCGGAAATCATTCTGGATGGTGTCCTGAAAGGTAGTGACCAATCTCCTGTTGCACAACAAACGCAAATAGGGTGGATTTTGTGCGGGAAGATGAAAACTTTTAACTGCAATGTAACTAGACTCAATTTAGACGAGTTAACAAAATTTTGGGAAACGGAAGCCATACAACACTTTCAAGATA